ATATCTGTATCATATATCTGTACGAGAACATCTTCCACCTTGCATGTGTCAAATCGACCCAGCAATAACCATTGCATATCGAATATGATGTACAAAACATACAGATACCCAATTGTGAGGAAACGTTTTCAACATCATTAAGGACATGTTCAGAAATAACTCATTTAGATATGCAGGCTATCGCATACTCATCCAGCGTCATACACGACATTTGTGGGTATCTATGCTAGTATGAAAATGATTTCTACACTAAATTGTCTTTTAATTTTAATAGCAGAATTTCCAACCTCCCCGGTGCCAACTTCATTGTCTCCAACATCAGAACACGTACAGATTTCCACTGTTGGGTCAACAAGTCAATTATCCAGCACTGCAGGTATTCATTTAATGAACAGTGTATTGCATCTTACTTGTAAAGTTATCAATGTCAACTATTTCCATGAGAAATATGCTATAAATGAACACCTATCACAATATTATTTCAGGTGGACCGTTAACATCTTCCATCTCGTCAACCATACTAACCACAGAATCTATATCAACCGATATTACCATGGTATCCACATCAGGAACAACGAACAATTTAGTTCAAACTAGTTCTACAGCCAGCGACGCCAGCAATGAACCGACAACAAAAAACGCTTCACCAATCTCTACAGCGGAAATGATATCGACATTGATGACAGAGCAAATATCAACAAAACTGCCACCATCCCAAACTACTGAGACGGAGATACCTACTGAAATGACGACAATCACATCCAATTCACCTACAACCAGCAGAAGGCATGGTTCATCCCATGCGGCTACGTCACCGCAACCCTTTACAACATTCACTCCCTTTCGTCCAGCAACTATTCCACAAACGACAACACATTCCATCACAACAGCAAAGGAGTATACAACATTCACTCCTTTTCTACCCGCCACAGTCCCACCGATTACAACACCATGTAAGTTGAATACATGAACATATGGTCGTTTGTCAAATGATATTTGGGTATCTGACTTCATGGAAGTAGTACCATAATTAACGTGATTATAATTTGTGAACTTTTTTTTTTTCAATTTCAACATCAGTTGTGCCAACTACAAGTCTTTTGCCCAGCACTGCAGGTAATCAATCATTATTCAAATCGACTCACATACTTTTTTTAATTTCTTGCCACAAAATAGAAGGCAGATTTCGAGAATAATCGACTCACATGTGATAGTTAATCTACTAATTTTAACGCCATTATGTGCTGTCCGATGCATCTTTCCTTGAGTTACCGAGTAACTTTTTAGATGAGATGATACCAGCAAGAAAATTTATGCATGGAATTTACACACTGGAATTAAACATTTTAAAATATTAGAAACATCAAACAAATAACACTGCATATTTATGAAATTGAACATAGTCACATGATACGCAAATTATTTAAAAAAAAACTTTTGACCATAAACATAAATATTTAATAAAGGTACTGAAAGGTGTATTAACAGTTTAATTGCAGTAAATATGCACGGTTCAATCAATGAAACAACATCGAATAATAGTCTGCCTTCAAATACCACTATTCAATCATTTATTTGATTAAAAAGGTTTATATATTTATATGACAATTAGTTAATAAAAATAATAAAATAAACATCGAACGTGTCAAGATCGATGTTTAATTTGAGAACAGTGAAATTCAAAAAAATAAAATACCACCATAAATATGGTTAATATGCTATTAGTAGATATGAATTGAAACATGTGAAACAAAAAGTATCAGTTTTTGTTAAAAGGTATGTTTCACAAAATATTGTCCAACGATCGTTACGCATAGTTTAAAAAAAATACATTCGCTGGACATGGGTTCAGCAAACTACCATTGAAACATCGTTCTGGTTGAACAAATTCAAAGCCACTTTCTGATTGTTTTCCTTGAGACTAATGTGTGTTGATGTATTTTGTTAAGGTGTTGTGTTTTTACAAATGATACCGTTGCATAAGCACCTACGGGAGAACTGCTCAGCACATTTCTTTTGCGTGTTCGACAAATTGTGGTAGTCGTGTTAGGTGGCAATAATAATAATAATTCTTAAACGTATACTAACAAATTTGCTACCAACAATGGTAACCTCAGGTAAACGATTTCAACGCTGATTAACATAACTACTGCATTCACATACATGCGTCCTAAAACAATTATATATATGTATATGTAGTCATATTATAACACTATGTCTCGTACATTTCAGTCACAACTGATAACTCATGCTCTCCCACTTGTGACGGTGTTTGCTCGTTACAGAATGTACTATCGTGTCCATGTTCTGGAGCGTCATGTGGTAAGTATATTGTCTTTTAGTACTATTGAGTTTTTACATAGTTGTACTACAATTTACCTAGGTGCATGCGTTTCTCTATTGTTCTTTGTTTTCAGATTACGTTCCCATTGGATGTTTCGCTGATACAATAAACCGTGCAATAGCCACACTTGAAGGGACCGATTCACGTCTGGATGGAGCATACCGTTATCGCACAAACCCTATCGAGAAATGTGCTGCCGTGGCTCGAGATAATGGTTATGGAATGTTTGCGATACAAAATGGAGGATGGTGCGCATCAAGTTGCACCGCTTGTCAAACGTATGACATATACGGTCCGTCGGCCGCTTGTACTGGGAGTGGGAAGGGTGGTTCATTCGCCAATGATGTTTATATTTTTGTTGATCCCTAATACAAATCAGTTTATATCAGTTTTATTGAAAACCAACCAACTACATATCACCACAATACATTTCGTTTGTAATTGGTTCAAGTGCATGTAAATATTTTGACGTTTTATCATCTGACATTATTGTACAAGGTCTTGTTGGATATAATTAGAATACTGTAACAAAAGCAAAAACACATTCACAACTGAAAAACCTTCAAAGAGAACAGAATGCTATCTATTAGGAAAGTATGGACATTATGCCACATATATTATATATATACATTAGGTACCCTTTAGATAGATACAGGCTCGTTTATGACCTAGACTTTAAATAACTAGGCATATGGTTGTATCGCATCTATGCTACGTCAATACGTTGCAGAATGTTCGGGCCATAGGTAACTACTAAACTGCTAGTTGGATCTAGGGCGAAATTAACTACATGTTGTGACAAGGCAATCGCCTTTTGTGCTTTGGGTTTATGCAAATTGCAGCCAAATTTAGAAACAGTTCCAACGTTTATTTATGCAAGGCTAATTTAAAACACATTATGCAGTAAGACGTACAGTTTGTAGATATATATTATTTAATTTATCCTCGCAATATATTCAGTTATATTTCTATTTTGTTATATTTCTATATTGTGGCTTTTTTATGCGCTTTAGATACGATTTCAACTGTGAAAAGGGCGATATAAACACATAAATAATTAATATATTAATATGTATTAATAACAGTGTTGCTTAACATAAATGTTTTAGAGGCTGTTTCAGTAAAAGCAAGCGCCGATCTCCTTTTCCTTCAGCTGTCTATCATATTCTAACATTTCAGTTATTAAATTTATAAATGTGATGTTAAACACATGTAGTACCAATCGTTCGCTTTTAGTTTGACATCGTGAACATTAAATATGACGAGGCTGAGCATTAAGTGGTTATATATAACTATATTTAGACTTTCACAATGCCATAGCATGTTGTTTCTATACACTGAAGAACATAGATTTCTTTGAAATTTTGAGTAAATGTAACCAGCATGAATGATCAATTAAAATATATGGCCGTTTTAGGAAGACATATTTTCCTAATCACAGGTTGAAGGTTGTGTTTTTTGAAAGTCACATGCTTAATGAAATGTCATCATGCATTAACGTTTTCTCATACAGTATATACGTTGGCCTCTTCTCAAACAAGTCATGGGGAATGTGACCCTCTCAGGCCCATGCTTGCTGGTTTAATGATTACAAATGAAAATAATGATTATATTACAATCCACATTGTTTTCACTAACCACTCGTACTTTTAATTGTGTATTGAATGGTTATTTTATGAAACCATACTATATCATGGAGTTTTAATGCATTTCGGAAACCCAGGTAAATGTAAAATGAAGTGAGGTGCGCCCTCATTTAATAGCATACATCAAATTCTATATCCAAGATTACTGAACTAGGTTTATTCGTACATGGTTCAAAGAAAGTATGTATAGTGCTGTACACTTTACTGAATCAACATCACTACACAATACGTTTAAAATAAATTACTATTTTTATTTAATAGTTATAAACCGTACATTTAATAAATATTTTCTGTCGTCAATAATTCATTCTTGCACTCAGTATTTTACTGTTATCTTGAAATTCTTTTCTCCCAATACCTTATTCTTTAAGCCAATGCTGAATGTCGGGTAACCAAGTTGCTACGTTACTGAGTGGGTCAATGTGGATTCTATTATAAGAAGATGGTTGTATGTTTTTTTTTCTTATAAAGAGCCTAATATAATTGTTACCCTACTCCCGGGAATTAACATATATATGTCAAGATGTCCCAGATATTGTTATTCGTTCTAGCTCGGCAATATATATATATATATATGACTACAATTACACATTGGTTTGCACTAATCTAAACATGCCAAAATAATTTGCATATAATTAATACTGTATGAGTAACCAAAACCAACTGAAATTCATGAAATTCATTCAAGACACCACAGTGATTGATGATTGAATTGTGTACTTTAAAGTACCATTGGCAATGTAGAAACTTATACCTAATTTCTGAAACTGTCTTTACAAGTTTACTAATTTTGAAATAAGCGTTTAAAAAAAATGAATATACTTATTTTTTTTAAAATTATTAATCTAAGTGACTATAATTACACTTCAAAAAACTATGGTACATGTGATGCAAATTATATTTCATTAGTTGTGAGCAACTAAAATAAATAATGTCATCGAACTAATTATGTTAATTGGTTATTGCATTGTTATGATGGCTTTGGTTTTATACTGTTGTAGGTTTCAATGTTGTCCACTCCGTTGACTCAGGTTCTGTGGATTCAGCAATAGTGGTTTCCTTGCGGGTCGTCGGGATCAACGTAGTAAACGGCGCATCTAAAATGAAATAGTTAACAGCTGTTAGTTGTATTTCGTATTATAAAATTTGAGATTCGGTTCCATGCAACATTTTGTTTCATTTTTGTTTTATATATTTCCGTGTACTAATCAAGTAAACGCCCATATACACTTTCCTATGCTGCAATCAAATTCACAAGCCTTAAACCTATTTGCCTGTTTTTAATAGAAACTTCTCTTACCTTATTACCCCAAGTCATGCCGAAGCATAGACAGTGAAGTGAAGTAAGGAATCGGTTGGGCAATTGTTTGTTTTTTGACATAGTAAATGTTTACCATTTTAGTTGTATTATACATGTAATCAATAAATAAAATATACAAATATCATGTCCTAAAGAGAGGTTCATACTTAAAAAAATAGATGCGCTGAATTGATTTGACAGAAACAAAGATAAAAGGGAAT